CTGGGCAGCCTGCTCTGGGTGACCCTGCTTGGGCAGGGGGTTGGGCTGGGGGATCCACAGAGGGCCCTGCCAACCCCCACCACTCTGTGATTCTGTCACGTAGTTTAATTTTAAATGAACTTCAGAATAATACGTGGAGTTGCCTGAGCGAAGCGGCAGTGGTAAGAGATTTACCCAGCAGTTAATGTTTATTATTTCTTTTAAATTCAAGGTCACCTCATCGTGGAGATAACGAACTCTTCCTCGGCGCATCACAGGAACTTGTCTGGAGCAGGCCGTTCCTAGATGGCAAGGTTGGTGAGCTAATACCCAGCCATGCTGCTGGTTTTAGGAGGTTGCTACTGGCTGATCTGAATGTTTCTCACACTGCGCAAGGTTGGTGAGCTAATACCCAGCCGTGCTGCTGGTTTTAGGAGGTTGTTACTGGCTGATCTGAATGTTTCTCACACTGAGCTGTGATGTTAACTTTAAAAACTTTGGTTTAAGTACAAGTTGCACAGCACAGTAATTTAGGTTGTGTCATGGTTTGCATTTTTTCTGTCAGATTTGAATTTTGGAAAACAGGATAGCTCAGAATTGGAAAGTTCAATTTCCTGCATTTTATTGGCTGCTTGTGTATTTATAATGTATCATAAAAACTGCTCATACTGCCAAAGTGATGTACCACTTTTGCTGCAAGGCTGCAGTATTGTTCCATGGGTGAACAGAAGCAGGTGCGCTGTAGAAAGCGAAGTAGAGGAGTACTTCAGGCAAGCAGCAGTTGCAGACTTCTACAGCTGCGTTATATAGATACGTTTGTACCGATGTCCTTTTAAGGGTGTCTTCCCCTTAATGGAATATTTAAGTGTTAGCTTTAACTGTGTAACTTCTTTTAAAAAGTTCTAAATACAAATTGAACTGCACTGAGGAAGGAAAGAAAAAAGCGCTGTTAGAACGGTGTAGAAGTGACACACGGGCAATGGTTCACTCCCATCCATCCTTCCACGTGAAATCAAGTCTGCTGACCGTGGCGTGGGAGGTCGTTACGTGACGGACGTTTGTGTAAGATGCTCAGACTCCCGCTAGTGAATCCTGGTGTTGCTGCAGCTTTCGAGTGCGCCAGTCCCTGCAGGTGGAGGTTTTACTCTTCTGAATTTGGCCCCATTAGTGAAAGCTGCCAGACTCTGAACTTGCCCAAAGCCAAGCGCAGGACCTTCATTTTGGTCAGTGGTGACTAACTGGGGCGGTCAGAGGTTCCTGTCACTGGGAGACAGAGCAGGACCCCCGGAGAATCAAACTGTTGCTAGGCAGTACCTTGTTTAAACGAGAGCGTGCAGACGGATGCAAGGCTGCGTTTTACTTGAAGCACGCTTGGCACAAAATGATTGGTTATGAACTCCCAACGAAATTTTCTCCCTACTGAGGAAGTTTGACTCTTTAATGGCAAAAGTCAAGTTCATTTTCAACGTTAATGTTTACCTCATAAGAGGAATAGTTGAGAGTGAATGTGACCAGGGAGAAGAAGGAACATTCCCATGGGCCGTACTGCCACTTCTGCATTAAACTGCCAAGAGGTGGGAAACGTTTTTTCACTTGACAGACAACATTAAATGCCTTAAGCTCTGTCAAGTAACACACTGCACAGATGAAATACCGTCTGTATCAGACAGCAAGGGAGGTCCAGCAAGAGGTATGCTGCAGTCTGGGACATGGACCTGCTCCTCTTTAATATATGGATTTATCCTATGGAGCTATGTAATCATTGTGAGGTGGCCTTCGCAGTAAGGGAACGGTATTTGTGTTCTCATGGCATAGCAACTGAACCTCCACTTAGGATGTTTGAGGAAATTGTATTTCCTATCTTCAGGCAACAGATACTGTTGATGGCTGTGACTGATCAGGATGCGAGCTCAGCACAGTGTCTGCCTTCACCTGGGTCACTCCTGATGGCTTCACGTCTGATCGCTGGGTAGATGGAACACGCTGCTAGTGAAGGACAAGGTATGAACAGATAAGGCTGTCAGTTGTGTTCCCGCCAGCACCACAAAGCAAGCAAGCATTCCTAGAAAGGATACTCTTCAGAAGCAGGTTACTCACGTAATTTAATGTCCAGTTAGTTTCATCTCCATGAGGTAACAGCGATTTCCTGGATCATTCAGTGTTACATTAGGCCAAAATGCCTTCTATCCGAGACACACTCAAAACGCGTTACAGCCGGCGGCGTTCCCCCTCCTCCCCCAAAGAGCCATGTCATCCTGACCTGACAATGCAGCGCTTTTTCAGCTTTCAAAGAGGGAAGTAAACGCCATTTTACATACTTTGGGGGGTGTGTGTATATAGAAGTATACAGTGATCTGCGATAGAAGCCATAAGCCTCACAAGTAGTGACTTACAAGTTCATATTTCTCCCCAGACAGAGAAGGCATTTTTACAGGCATTTGACACATTCATTAAATAAAAAAAAAAAATAATAATGAGAACACATTGAGAAGCATGGCTGGAAAACAGGCAGGGTGCAGCCTGCAGCCTTAGTTTGGTACGTAGTACTGTGCAGTGCATACTAAGAGCTGCTCCACGTCCCGAGATGCATAAAGCGTTGATTAACGGGCAGGGGAGGCTACACGGAAGGACAGAAGGACGGAAGGACCTGGTTATGGATCCGTGCACGACGGCAGAACGGTCTCCCAGGAATGACATGTGCCACCGCTTCCCCCTCAACGCCAGGGGACGCAGAATTAGCAGCAGTAATCAAACGCGTCTGTGACCCCGCGGAAGGGAGCTTCCTTTCAGACAGGCGTTCTTCAGGATTGCACTGTCAAGGTTAAAGAGTAAAATCTGCTCCAGGGAGCAGCTTGTAAACACAAGGGGCAGAGTGAGCTCGCAGGGGGTGTAAACGTGTTCAGACACCGCATCTGAAGGCCGTGCTGTCACGCGAGGTCCTGGCTATTGGTGTCAATGCCCAGAAGCTGCTGAAGTTGCAGAGTTTGGCTTAAAAAAAGAAATTACACCCCTTGCCCCGCCCCCAGCCTAGCAGGAGAGGTGAAGGTGAATCCAGGAAGAAAAAGGAGCTCCCTTAAGCACACCAATAGTGGCTTTTTTCTTACTGTAGAGTAACATTTTTTTCTCTTATAAAACATAGCAGCCCAAAGAGCTTTGCCAACTTGTCAGCTCCCAACTGGAAAAGGAAAGGGACGACCGCAGACGGAACCGGACCCCCGTGCGTCTGTGGCACCCCGCGCCTTTCACCCGCGTCCGTCCGACCCCGCTCAGAGCGTGGCTCTTCCCTCAGGGCAGGTCCAGCAGCTGGTGCTGGGCGAAGAGCTCCTGGGTGATGCCGTAGACATCGCAGATGTGGGGCAGGGCCTCGCCCAGCATGGTAACGGCCTCCTCGTGCGTGCCCACGTTCATGATCTCCAGGAAGGCGTCGCGGGACGGCAGCGCGCAGAAGGCCACCGTGACGGCCTTGCGCACCACCCACGGGTGGTGGGAAGCCAGCGACGCGTTGTAGGAGTCCGTGCAG